ATTAGTAATGATAATAATAATCATTTGTCTCATTTAAATGTCGTATATTACGTTAAATACACATTTTCATTAATCCATCTATGATATTTTTTCAAAATTATATAATAAACACGATGCATAACATAAAAAAGATGTTAAATACACCCCACAATAGAATAAATAAACATAAATATGAGATGTGGTAGCAGACGACTTGCACAAGTGAGGCCATATTAGAAATGCTAATAATAATAATAATGATCACCGAGTCTTATTAAATGTTGTATATTACATTAAATATACACATTTTTCATTAATCCATCCATGATATTTTTTTCAAAATTATATAATAAACACAATACATAACATAAAAAGATGATAAATACACCCACAATAGAATAAATAAACATAAATGAGATGTCGTAGCCAGATAACTTGTACATGTGATGCCAAGAATAACATTTTCTCTAATCTAACATAAGAGAAAATGTGTTACTGGGGGTAACTGTAGAAAATTATTCCTTTCGTATGTATGTAAGTTTATTCAGGTATACACAAATACAGTTACATAGATTATCATACATAACAACATATGTGTAGAGAACCTAGGAATAACCCAAAAGAGTCAGTGTGACTTATTTCCATTGCCTTCACTCAGAGCATCATTTCTTCTCAAAATGATGTTACATGAGAATGGGAGTGTTCTTCTTTATTTTATTCTACCGTATCAATGTATAGACAACCTGTACACAATGTAACTTGTACACAAACCAGACGTGTAACACTTCGTTTACAAAACTTAACCTTCGCCTGGTTTGTTTACATAACTCTGCGCCTGTCCTCTTCATGCACTCATTCTTTCTCTCTCTCATTTTATTCGTTTTATCTCATTACTTACTCCTGACCCTACATTAAGACTACAAATATTTTAAGGTAAGTAATGAGTGAACTGTATATACATTTTATTGCTCTGGGATGCTTAAATATCATGGAATATATGTGGTGGGTGGGTTGCCTGGTATGGTAGCCCGGCTGACTACCATACATACCACACTTGATTTTTTACAATAAATACTACTCATCTCACCCTATATTTTAAGGTAAGTAATGAGTGAACTGTATATACATTTTATCGCTCTGGGATGCTTAAATATCATAGAATTGTATGTGTGGGTGGGGTGGCCTGGTATGGTAGCCTGGCTGACTACCATACATACCACACTTGATTTCTTACAATAAATACTACTTGTCTCACCCTAGATTAAGACTATAAATATTTTAACCCTTTCAGGGTCCAAGGCCCAAATCTGGAGTCACGCACCAGTGTCCAAGATATTTCAAAAAAAAAATTTGTTATTTTTTCTTATGAAATCGTAGAGAATCTTTTTGTGAAGGTAATAAAACAAAAAGTACGAAAATTGGTGGAAAATTGACGAAATTATGCTCTCGCAAATTTTGATGTGTCAGCGATATTTACGAATCGGCGATTTTGCCGACTTTGACTCCCATTTTAGGCCAATTACATTATTCCAATCAACCAAAACTTAGCTATTTCACTAGTATTACTTCTATTCTATCGATTGAGCACAATAAATCGCCAAGTCAACTGTTTCAACTACAAAATAAAGTGATCGGAAATTGTTAATTTGGCCAATTAACACAAAGTTCAAAATATTCCAATTTCAAAATAGGGTCCAGAATGAACAATGTAGGCATTCCTGGCACTAAACTAACATTTCCTCTGTTCATTAGTTATGTTTTTGAGGCTTTACAAATAAATTGCATTTTGATTTTTTATTCACATAATGAATTTTTATTCACACCAAAAAATAGAAGATTTACTGTTATGCAATACTGTAATAATTGTATAAATATCATCACCATATTTTGTGAATGTATATTAGACCCCCCAGCTGATGTGTATTAGACGTGTGAGGTCGTTTGTTTACTCTTGAATATCGGCAAAAATTTAACATTTCCGCTACTTTGAGCTCAGTTTCAAGCCATTTCCAATGCTAAAACCAATCAAAATCATCTCTATTTCTGTAATATGTCTTCCATTCTATCAAATGAGACCAAGAAATCGCAATACAACTATAAAAAACATACGAAAAAAACACTGCAAAGTTGCTGTTTTAATCGAAAAATCATGATTTCATTTTTTTTCTCTCATTATGCACAGTGTGCTGCAGGATCTGTTTTATGTGGTGCACACATACCACATAGATGTATTCTCTCATATCTAGGCCCAAATGTACCACTCACAGTTTATCAGAGTGAGCTGAGCTCATGGCGTAGATCTACGGTTTGGACCCTGAACATAAAGCCGTAGATCTACGGGACGGACCCTGAAAGGGTTAAGGTAAGTAATGAGTGCACTATGTGTGTATTGTACTTTTTATTGTTTTTTGATGCCTGGTTCTATTGCTAACTTAATATATGTTAGTGTAAACTTGTTATCTAGTGTTTGTATGCATTTGTAAGTGGAAAAAAAGGGTGTTCCACTTTACGGCGGTTTCCGCTTTACGGCGGTAGCCTGGAACCTAACCAGCCGTATAAGTGGGGCCTTCCTGTACTTCACTACATTATTTTAGTCTAAGATGATACATCACATGACCAAAGCCGTTTGATACTCATAGCAGCACTAGCTACTAAGAGTATCTATATCTATCCTGGGTAATCATCCAGAGCTCACCTGCAGTTACTAAATTTCTTTGCATCACATCCATATTATATTGCTTTAATATATTTAGAAACAATTATTCTTCTTGACTAATATTCTAAGTTTATACCTGGAGTATACTTGGAGAAGGTTTCGGGGGTCAAAGCCCCCGCAGCCTGGTCTGTGACCAGAAATTCTAGGAACAAAAAAGATATCACGAAATAGCGAAATAAAATTAGCAAAATCAGATGAACCCCAACTCCCACCAACAGAAACAGCAAACAGACTCAATGATTTCTTCTCCACTATAGGACAAAACCTTGCCAATAAAATCCCAAGCTCAGATACCCCACCAAATGACTACCTCACCGGCAACTACCCGAACACACTGTTCCTAGCTCCGACTAACCCATTACGAAGTCTCCCTTATTATCAACACACTAAAAAACAAGGCAGGAGATTTAAATACCTTACCACCCCTTATATACAAAAAAGTGTCACAAGTGCTATCACCAATCATTGCAACACTCTTTAACAAATCCATTGAATCCTCCACCTTCCCTACAGTACTCAAAATAGCAAGGGTCACCCCGATCCACAAAGGAGGAGACCAAACAGAGTTGAATAACTATAGGCCAATATCCAACTTACACCCTCTCTCAAAAATCTTCGAAAAATTAATTCATAAACGAATCTACTCCTACCTTATCTCCCAAAACATACTAAACCCCTGCCAATTTGGATTCAGGCCTAATAAAAATACTAATGATGCTATTATACACATGCTAGAACATATAATACACTGCAATAGAGAAAAAAGAAGTCCCACTGGGGATCTTCATTGACTTACGTAAAGCTTTTGATACAGTTGACCATGACTTGCTCCACGTAAAATTGTCACACTATGGTATAAGAGGCACTCCCTCAACTACCTCAAGTCATACCTCAGCAACAGAAGCCAATATGTGTATGCAAATGGGGCAAACTCCTCTGCACAACCAATTACAGTTGGTGTCCCACAGGGAAGTGTCCCTTGCCCTCTCTCTCTCTTTCTCCTATACATAAATGACCTACCAAATGCTTCGCAATTACTCAAACCCACACTATTTGCAGATGACACTACATACGTCTTCTCCCACCCGAGCCCAGTCACGCTAGCCAATACTGTAAAATACCCGAATTACAGAAAATATCTACCTGGATGAGAACTAACAAAACTTACACTAAACATTGACAAAACCTACTTCATTCAGTTTGGTAACAGAGCTACAGATGTCCCTCTTAACATAATGATAAACGGATCACCTATCACAAAGCTAACAGAGGGAAAAATTCTAGGAATCCACCTTGATAATAGACTCAAATTTTCATACACATATACAACAAATTTCTAAGAAAATTTCCAAGACTGTAGGCATACTATCGAAGATACGGTACTATGCTCCACAGTCAGCCCTCCTGGCCCTATATCACTCTCTTATTTACCCCTATCTCACCTATGGAATTTGTGCATGGGCTCACAAGTAACCATCTCAGACCACTAATTACCCAACAAAAGGCTGCAGTTAGAATGATAAAAAAAATTCTCACTATAGGCACGCACACTCCACCAATATTCAATACACTAAACCTCCTCACCATACAAAACATCCATACTTACTACTGCACCTATTACATACATAGAACACTTAACTCTGATATTAACCCTCCCCTCAAACATCTCCTTGCCAACCTCAACAGAACACATGACCATAACACAAGGCACAGATCACACTTTGATGTTCCTCGTGTCCATCTCACACTATGTAAAAACTCAATGCACATAAAAGGCCCTAAAATCTGGAATTCATTACCTGTAAATATAAAAGAAACACTACCTGTTTATAAATTCAAGTCTCTTCTCAAAGATCACTTACTCACCCAAAACCAAATAAATACTGAATAACTGAACCTTATAAATTGTATATCTTAAATGTTTCTCACAATTATATCACATAAATGTTAAACCTAAAACCCAATCTAACTTTATTATTTTTTAAATACACTACCTAACAGAATACTCCATTCTACTGAATGTACAACAATGCATACAACCATATGACCTGTCTTTGTAATACTCACTTGTGCTTTATAGTAACCTGTTTACATTAATGTTTTATCACTGATTTCATCATTGCTTAGTTAATCTTAAGTTAATTTTAAGCCAGCCCGTAATGCTATGCATAGTATAAGTGGCTTTGGCATACTGCTCTTACCTGTATTTGTTGTACCTCTGTATGTGTGCTCAAATTTTTAAATAAATAAATAAATAAATAAATAAATAAATCAAAAGTTCTCCTAGGATGTATTTTAAGTACATTTACATTCTCACTTTTCAGGGATATTTCATGAGGCCAACAATTATCACAGGATTGGACGACAACTCTCGTTGCATGCAAGAAGAGATATTTGGGCCTGTAACATGCATTACACCTTTTGAAACTGAGGAAGAAGTAATTAATCGTGCCAACAACACAACTTATGGTCTTTGTGCATCTGTGTGGACTTCAAACCTTGGAATGGCACACAGTGTAGCTCATAAGCTGAAGGTAATAAATAACTAACAACTTTTAGTTTGCAATAAAAACTCATTCAGGTATTTACTAATGCAGCTTTACATATTTCTTTATGAAAACAATTTTTTTTTTTTTTTTTTTTTTTTTTTGGTAATAAGCTTAAGTGAATATTCCATAAAGAAATAAGATTTTAATTGGTAAAACATTTGCCTTACATAGTTTTATCAATCTACATAAGTGAGAAATCAGGCACAAAGTTCTTCAACATTTTACAGTAATATATCTGCCTAACAGTAGTCGCCATTATTTGTGGTATGTATAATGTACAGGTTAAGCTCAAGGAACTTTATTGCAAAAGGTGAAAAGTACACATGACACCAAATCAAATGGTTTAAGACAGTATTGTATATAGATTTTGAAATCTTTCAGGTTGGAACTGTGTGGACAAATTGCTGGCTTGTGCGAAGTATTGATATGCCTTTTGGAGGGGTCAAGAGCAGTGGGATGGGACGTGAAGGAACCGAGGACTCGCTTGAATTTTACACAGAATCTAAGACAATTTGCACTAAATTTACTTAAAGCTTATGCACAATGAAGTTGAAATATGTTTATTTGGAAAACAAAAGTGGTATTAAAATTGCAAATACAGTAGAATAATGTACAGTAGACCGTCATTTAACATGGTAGTTACGTTCCTGAAAATGGCACATTAGATAAAACTGTGTTAGATGAACTTTAGAACTTTGGGGAAAAATAGGGTTACGTTCCTAAGAGCCCCAAATAAGCCAAACAACTTTTTTTTAGGCCCCCACATCTTACAAAGATAAAAGTGAATATGGAATTGTAGTTCACTGTTGTGATGTATTACGTTATTTTTTACTGGTTAAGACTATAAATGTAACAGAAATAATAATATTTCTTACCGTAAATTGTGGGTGCTGGTGTTTGTGGATGATTGTGAAGAGAGTGGAGAGTTATGCTGTGGCCCTACTAGACTGAGGTGGATGGTAGAGGTTCTGGTACTGAAGGTTGCATTGGAGTGTCTAACTTTAAGTCATTCAGTCAGTCAGTCAAGCCAGTAAGTCATTCAGTCAAGCAAGTCATTCAGTCAAGCAAGTCATTCAGTCAAGCAAGTCATTCAGTCAAGCAAGTCATTCAGTCAAGTAAGTCATTCAGTCAAGTAAGTCATTCAGTCAAGTAAGCCATTCAGTCAAGTAAGTCATTCAGTCAAGCCAGTCATACAAATTCAAGTTTACCTCTTTTTATGTGTAGAAAGTAACAATTCATTACAGTTATCTCTTGTCTAATATCTTTGTTTCCTTCTTTAATTCTAAGACTTAAATGCTTATACCTTTTCTTGCCACTTTCAGCAACATTAGTATTCCTACTGGGTGTCATGATTGCTTGGCAGATACAAGATATAGTAATTAAAAGATCAAAACAATTCACAAATACAGCTAGCTTGTAGCAGAGAAAGACTGGAAACATATGAAATATGATTGCTGGGATGGTGGGGTGGTGTCGAGGGGTGGCAGCGGATGGCGGGAGGTCTCCCCGGTTGATCCACAACAAAGCAGCCGCTTGAGGAAAAGGGATTTTTTTTTCCTTCCCACAAACTGAACCATGTTCAATTAATTTTACGACGTGTTACATAAAATTGCGCCGCAATTCTTCAATCGTGCTATACCCAAATCATGCCAAATACTCGTGCTAAATGACGGTCAGCTATAGTTGAAGTGCATGGGTTCATCAAATATATGAATGATGGTAACTGTGCTGTCATACATTAATCTTGATACTGAGCATCTTTGACAGTGTTGTGTATCCTGTTGGGGACAGAAAGGTTTTGTCTTAACAGTACATATAATCAGTTTATTACTATTGTAACTCTAATGACACTTAGACATTGCATGATGTATATTCTGTATTGTATTTCAGGAGTGCTGAAAATATTCTTCATTGGTAATGTACTAAGGAAATACAGTCTTAATGAGCTTCATGCAGTCAGTAGGCTTTAAACCTAACAAAAACAACTGGATCCATTATTCTTGTGGATAGTTCATTACTACTGTAACTGCTTAGGTATATATCAGAATGTTGGGCCCATGACTTGAAATTTTTGACTGCCACCTATAAGAAGGGCATTATTGGGTGATGACTGCCCACACAATGGGTATAAGGTAACTACTGGTCCTCCCACAGGATGTGTATGGAGGTTATAATGATCTAGGGTGGATATTGGTTTTGTTATTAAACTGTCCAAATGTAGATCTACGTTTTTTCAACATTTGAAAGTATGTAAAAAAACGTAGAGATGTTTTTTTTTTTACATTTGAAAACGTGTAAAAACTTTGATCTACTTTTTTTTTTGTTATACTTGAAAATATGTAAAAAAAACGTAGATCTACTTTTGGAGCACTACGCATGTGAACGTAGATCTGTTTGGACAGTTTAGCGGTTAAACTAATTTATTGTACACTGTATTCTGACAAGTATATTACAGAAATACTGTGCATCCTATGGACTTTCTGATTATTGTATAGTATTTTGTAAATGCAGTTATTGGCAATAAAGAATCTAAATCTAAATTTCGTAAATAAATGAAATAAACAATTATGCTTTGATAATACTTAGATATATTTTGTATTATTTTAACTTAAAGCAAATAACTTATTCTCAAAGTCAACTACAATGATACATCCCTATGTCCTATGTAAACAATAACATCATCAATGCATTTCTCAAGTCACTAAATTTTAACATAACCTTTATTGTTCTTATACAAGCTTGACCTAAACATGACACTAAAAACAACCTACCTGGTTTACTCAGCCATATATAACTGCAGATCTAACCAAAATGGAGGTGGTACCACAATGAAGTGGTATGTAGTGTGTAGTACCACAATCTACCACTGAGATGCAATGTATTAACACAACTTGTGTCAAAGATGATCTATATGAATATATATTTGCTCAGTTCACTACTGAAAACTTAAAGATGCCACTTATAATAGGCACTGTCCACAGACAACCTCACACCAGCACTAGACAAATATGACTTGACAGTTACTGGAGACTAACATTGATCTCATGCAGTCAGAAGACTCCCAAATAACTGGTTTCCTAAACAATATGTATAATTGCTTCTTCACATGACTGCATCTAGACAAATATAACAGCTCCTCTTAAAATTGCCGTTATCACAGTCAATATAACAAATTTTTAGTCCACTTCCCTAGTCATCAATGTAACTAAGCAACTACAGTGGACCCCTGCATAATGATATTAATCCGTTCCTGAGAGCTCATTGTTATGCGAAATTATCGTCATGCGAATGAATTTTCCCCATAAGAAATAATGGAAATCAAATTAATCCATGCAAGACGCCCAAAAGTATGAAA